CTCTCGGTCTCTCTCTCTCGGTCTCTCTCTCTCTCTCTCTCTCACTCACTCTCTCACTCACTCTCTCTCTCACTCTCTCACACACACGCACACACATACACACACACACACACACACACACACACACACACACACACACACACACACCTGTCCTGTCCTGTTGAGCCACTGCCATGAAGGTTACGTGGGCCCCGGAGGGGCAGCTGAGAGAGAGGAGGAGCACACAGCCCTGTGACGATCCAGGTGATGCAGTAAGCGAAATCGGCGGGAGCAGGCGCAAACACACAAGAAACCCTGACGGTCCTGAACGGTCGGACGACTACAAGTCCGCGAGCAGCGATGACGGGCGCGGCCACGTGTAGACGCAGAGCAGCGGTCACAAGCCTGGCAGTGAGCGACGTAGCACAGCGGAGAAGCAGGCACACACACACACACACAAATCCCTCTCTCTCTCTCTCTCTCTCTCTCTCTCTCTCATCCCTCTCCCAAATGATCTGCTTCGAACAAGTAACTTTACATTTCACCAAGATTTTAGCACAGCCGATCATCAAGATGACAATAACTAAAACTGCTCTCCAATTCCTTTGTTTGATGTGAAATGTAAAGTTAATTATTCGCGATGGAGAGACCGTTCGAGAGAAAAGAGAGAGAAAAGAGAGAGAGAGAGAGAGAGAGAGAGAGAGAGAGAGAGAGAGAGAGAGAGAGAGAGGGAGAGGGAGAGGGAGAGAGAGAGAGAGAGAGAGAGAGAGAGAGAGAGAGAGAGAGAGAGAGAGAGAGAGAGAGAGAGAGAGAGAATCCCTGTGTGTGCCATCATCGATTTGTCAAATGACATATGGGTGGGGGTGTTGATGTGGGGTCTTTGCCTTTTGTAGGAAAATCCTTCTCCGGACGGGAATTTGACCAACTTAGCGTTGCTGGTCAGAAAGAAGCAGTGCGCAATGCAAAGTAAGGACAGGTTGTTTTTATTGTTTTTTTTGCATAGTAGGTTCAACTTCTTCTTGTGAAACAGGATTTTTACTGTTAGACAACATATTCAGAGTTCATTTAGGCTGCATTTAATAGTTTTTGTCTACTTCATAGAGTAGAAAGTAGAGTGGATTTATTAAACTAAGAAGACTGTAGATGGAAGTGCACAAGAGTAGTTCATCGATGTGAAGTCCCTATATTACCCATCTTTGCAACATGTACTGTGCGATTACGGCGTTTTGTTGAAAACCTCTCCCCTTCACCATGGGTTTACAGAAATGCCCCACCTACCGACTTCTTCCAGTATCAAGCCGGGTAGCGCCTGATCCGCAACAGCTGCGTCCACGTGAGCGTGTATAATTACAGTGAAATCTAAGCTGACCGCTCAAGGGTCCTCACGAATGTGGTCCCTGTATACAGGTCTCGTTTTCCAGGGTCATTTGACCAATGGCTGTACCAGTTTTTACAATTCCAACTGAAATAGAATGTCTAACGAGCAATAGATTATGTAGAAGTACTAAGAGGTTATCTGATAGGCCCTGATGTCGACCTGGGACTATACCACCCCTCAATAGCTGGCTCCGTGCCTTTTAGTGTGCTTGTGTTATCGTTGGTCGACCAGGGTGCAGTGCTGTTGGTATTTATGTTCACTCCATTCATCTGAAACTTGCACACTAGAGCCGCCCCATACGTCGTAAACATCACATTCAAGTGCAGAACTTCAACAGATTGTAATTCAGTCAAATCTTGCTCAAACCCAAAGATTCGAATATCTAGGTCGAACAAAAAAATCTCACATGTCGGTGGAAACAATCCGCGAAGCGCTGCGAGCAACGGTTCTTAACCCTTTGCGTGCTGAGTACGAGTTAACTCGCACTTTATGCATGACCTGATCCACTAAGTACGAGTTCAAATTCAAATTCAGGAATCTTAGTTTGAATTTGAATGAGTGTTTCTTACATGACACGTGATCGTTGCCCGGGCCATGGCCAATAGGCAGTCTTCCCGCCGCGGGCATAATCAGGCCATCAGGACCGTTTGACGTCACTTCGGAAATTTCAGGACCGTTTGATGTCATTTCGGGAATGTCAGGACCGTTTGACGTCATTTCGGGAATAATTTTTCGACCTTTCGACCTTTGACCTTCCCTAATATGTTGCTTCGCGCTGTAAGAAATCGAATCAAGCACGCTCTGTCTGTCATGATGGCTGAATCTTGCCCTTGCCTGCAGCCCTCGGGCCTACGGCCCTTGGGCTGCAGGCTCGGGCAAGATTCAGCCATCATGACCGCCTGAGCGTGCTTGATTACATACATCCTTTACAACAGCTGGCATGATCTGGGAAATCCCACTCAATCCCGGCCACCGTCTTTTGTGCGTCTCTCTCTCTCTCTCTTTCCCTCTCTCGCTCGCTCTCTCCCCATGTCCTATGAACGCATGTGTGGTATGGCTGTAGGCTATTCTCTCGCGTTGAACCAGCACACAAGTACAAGATTGTAGAATACCTGCAAGATGATGGCCACATCTCTGCCATGGTAAGTTTTATTGACCCCCTCCCCCATACAAACATGCACACACACGCACACACACACACACACACACACACACACATGCACATGCACACACATGCACATGCACACACACACACACACACACACACACACACACACACACACACACACACACACACACATGCGCACACATGCGCACACATGCGCACACACACACGCACACACACACATGCACACACACTACTACTACTACTACTACTACTACTACTACTACTATGTACAGCTGCCACAAAATGGCCACGTCACTCCCAGAAGCGGGAGACAACAGCGAGAAAGGAAAAGAAGCACACACACACACACACACACACACACACACACACACTTGAATTCAGTAGAGTGATATTTGAGGGTATAAATGGGTGGAACCCCGATCTCAAGTAATACTGTAAAAGCTATTATTCTAACGAGGCGCATTTATAACGATTTCCCAAAATTGACTAGTTTACGTGTACCAAAGGTAGCGATTCTCACTCCTTCTCAACGCTCAATAGGACAGTATATGTATCGATTTCTGTATAAATATTTCTATTTTAACGACAGAGTTCTCCTCGTTAACTCGTTAGAGTTAGCACTCCGTTATATATGTGGCTTTTACAGTACTGCGATTTACACTAATCCCACTCGATCACTATAATCTGCTCGGCTTACTTTAACCGTTTCGGCTCAATAACAGAACAGAGGATGATCAAAGAAGCTGGGCATATGAACGGGAAATGTTCACAAGAAGGAATTACGACTAAACTATACAATACCATTATACAGTACGGGATACAGTGACAAGCCATAGACCATCGCCATATCATACCGTCCGAACCATTTCATGATGAGCAATTCCAGGCACATGAGCTTGATGAAGAACTATTTCAATAAGACAACTCTACCCCCGGCCTGACAACCGCTGGCAGGTCTTGAGGAGAATACCTTCCTCAATAAGAACTGGACAACAGCAGGTTTTCGGCAACCTGGAGTCAGCGGAGATCGTCAAGCTCCTCCACCTCCGGTACATGTACTGTGCATAGCCGGCACAAGCGTGCAGAAACACTGCATGCACTGTTGCGAGAGTTTGCGGATGAAGTCTAGGTCGGAAAATCCCATCAGCTCCAACCGCTCTGCATGTCGGCGATGCGGCTCCAGCTTTAGACTACAGCAGTCGGGGCTACAGTCCGCTTCGAAATGGTTAGCAATCGTGGCGATCGCCCGGGGAGTTTGCCTGGAAAAACTCGGTGTGAACTCGAAGAAATATTCCGCGCGAAAGCATGAAAAGTGACTAACTTACTCACGTAGGTACGTCTGGTTTACAACAAACCAGTTCTTACTCGATATGGAGTTGCAGAGGACATGTCGAAAGCGTGGTAAACGCTGAAGGTCAGCATGGGTCCCGGTTTGTGACCAAACAGTTTCTTTGAGCTGCGATGCAATTTACTCTCACCATGGGACGAAAATGACATGGACACGGACTCATTCTCAAGGCCATGACCTGGCCAAGCCATCCGCGTGACTTGGATGACTTTCTGAGAAAAGTAGACGCCTGTGAAAGCTGATAGAAGACGGCGCCGACTCCTAAGGGGTCGTCCACAAATATCGATGTTTTTTTAGAGAAGATATTCGTTCGTTTGGGGGGGGGGGGGGTTTGGGCCCTGTTCGTCTCGTCTTTGAGAAAAAAATATCGAACTCTATCTATGGACGGGCACTGTTCGAACATGTAGTTTATGACCTACACAAAGTGAAAGTCAACCTCGTGAGCATAGCCAAGGCAAGGTTGTTCGACCGTGGCAACATAAACCTACATGTACATGCAGGTGTATGGTGAAATTAGAGTTGCAGCTGGTCACGTTTCATGAGGAAATTGAGTTTCATTAAAAAAATATCGATCCTTTGCATAAACGTGTGTATGTTAAAGGGGAATTTAAGGCAAAAATTAAAATTTCACCAGTTGTAGTCTTCGGGGTGCTGAGTCGAATGGTCGTGGTCCGAGAAAGCTGAGACGCTCCCTTCCTACTTGAATCCCAATCGAACTCGCGCACTTCCACCGAAACTGGGTGACTGCGCCCTACTAGATGGGGATTTGTATGCAAAATGTCACTAAAAGCGCCATTTCATTCTTATAAAAGCACGGATGACCGCGATTGGACCATATGTTGTAGTCTTTTGGACGCTGAGTCGACTGGTTTTGGTCCGAAAAGGCTGCGATACAGCGTTCCTCCTTTATTCCCAATCGAACATGGTTGAACAAGCGGTCACGTGCTCCTGCGTACGCCAGTCACCTGGTCACCGTGCCTGCAGGGTACAACTTACTAGCCTGTTTGACCTTTTTTGGGTGCAGTCCTGTCACTCGAGTTGAACCTAGGTGTGAAAGTTGTCGCCTGCTGGCGTGGCGACCAGGCGATTTGGGCACCCAGGAGCACGTGACCGCTTGTTCAACCATGTTCGATTGGGAATAAAGGAGGAACGCTGCATCGCAGCTTTTTCGGACCAAAACCAGTCGACTCAGCGTCCAAAAGAGTAAAACATATGGACCAATCGCGGTTCGTTTTGAGGGGGGAGAAATGAGCAAATATGGTCTTGAAAAAATATCGATATTTAGGCCACACCAAGTTATTTCTATGTTTCGCGTCACCCGCACGCGTACCTTTTCGAATCCTTGACTTTTCGAATCCTTGACAAGAAAAAAAAAGAACCTAGACGAGCCAATCGATGGCTGTTCTGGCGAACATTCTCTAGCCAGTATGGCAGATCAGAGGTTATCAGCTTCTCCATAATCTTGCATTCCAGGCTATGGTACGTAGAAGGTGAGAGAGATGAAAATATCTATTTTTCCAAGCCGTGCAGTAGGCCTAGGACCTGCTCACCAAGCGAGCAGAGATTCCAGGTGTCAAGGACTTCGAGATTTTCCACGATTGTGATGGAGCGGGATCCCACTCGACTCATGTCAAAATGCAGAAGGAGCCATCCATGAAATCTCTTATTGTATCGCTCCAGCCCAGTCTGCCAGCTGTCCTGTGACGACTTGTCGTTTTGGATAGACGTGACAGTTTAGTAGTGGTATTCTGTGTGCAACATGGCTCAGTACACATAGAATGGAGTTTTGTTTTTTCTTATTTTTGTTTTTTTCCGCCCACCTTTTCCAGAAAATATCTGACGCGAAACATAGAATTAACTTGGTGTGGCCTTACGGACGGTCCCTAAGTTCAAATAAATTGGTGATCGTGACAAGACTAAAAAAATCTTTACAAGAAGTCGATCAATCCATGTGCCGGTGTATTCAACACGCAGCTACAGCTGACAGTGCAATGACCTCGCTCACACCGTTTCGACCTGAACCAGTCAAGTGTCAGTGCAGCCGGCAGGAAAATCGAGCTCCAACATTGGGAGCAGCCGCCTTCTTGAATCTTGTACAGTCATGTACCGGGCTTGATCACGAAAACAATGAAAAAAGGTCGGGATTTGAACCCACAACTCCATGGTCAGCAGACAGCATTCATGGCCACAGGGCCAAAAAGGCTTAGATAAATCGAGGGTTTTTGATTTAAAAAATCGCTGCTGGCTTCCAGGGCAAATTCTAAACCATGGGAAATAGCCAGAAACCTGCCCGAAATTCCTTAACGGCTGTTCCAATTGTTCCGAAACCTTTACAGAACAATTTGCGTTGCCCTAATAAGCTCTTCCATGTACTTTGTTGTCCGGATTTCCCTTATATTCATACTTTTTAAGACCAAAGCCTGATTTGAAGTGATTTCTAATCTTTTTGAAGCGCCCTGTAGTACTGTAGTGGACATGAAAATCCAGTCGATTGACCGGGGACAGCGCCCTCAGCGCGTACAGAAAGCTGCGTGCAGTGCACATGTTGATCCGATGCGACCAGCGCATAAATGCATGTGCTTATCCACGGCTGCATGGCCAGCGCCCTGGGGCCGCTAGACGTGCGACCGGATTTCCATGTCCACGACAGTACATGATTGAAGTTTGTGAAGCAGCAAGTTGAAATCGTAGCTGTTGGGGTATGTCAGTGCTCTGTACCTTGCATTTGTACGGAGAGTCGGTTGCCACGCGGATATTCCTTTCCTCATCGAGAGCTAGCTGGCCTCGAAACTCTGTCAGGGTCTGCCTGAGGTACCGACAGTCTTTTGGCTACCTGCTGGCAGGACTCCATCAAATCATCTAGCTTCAGCTCGGCGAGCAAATAGTCTCTTTCTCCTCCGCCATGGGCTGACACATACAAACTAGATACAAAACGATGCACCTGACTAGTGCTGGCTTGCACACGTGCCCCCTTTCACGAACCCAGATCATCTTTTCGGGATTGGTCTATTTTCCTCGCACATACATATACCCTATTTATGCTGTTGTTGTTGTTGCATGTGGTGCATAGACTGGTGATGGGTGCCCCCTTTCACGAACCAATACAATCTTTTCGGGATTGGTCTATTTTCATTGCACATACTTGGTCCGACTTATTAAAATGTGCGCTTCACTTCAAAACTCAAGCATATGTACAAAGGAGCACCTGTACTAAAAAATCAACCAAGAGACGGTAGATAGGTCAACCTGCAAAACGTCGACATTTTTTTCATCTCCAATCTACACTGCGATTCTTTGATTTTTTCACTCCATAGGCACGATTTGGACGATCGAATTCGCCTCCTCCTCGTGCAGCACGACTACCAGAATGGTGGCTGTAGGTGTTTTCGCCTGAAGCTCCTGCGACACCTTCAAATGAGGCGAACAAGTAAACCACCACGCATAAAAAATCACTTCTGACAACCGTGTACCGCGCGCGTAGGTATGTAGGTCTACTGATCATGAGTCTGATCTGTGTCGACATGTCATGCAGTCAGACCATGCGTGCTCTTCCCTGCGAGCTGCCTGTTTCACGAATCCACTGGCCCCGGAGACTGGCGATCTTTTGACGTATCGCGATCGCGGCTCCGAGGACTCCGCACCGTATCCGCCGGATAATTCACCCTTTCTGCGCTTCAGTTTTCCAGCCAGGTTGTCGCCTGAAAGTCGACCTCAAGGCCGGTTATTTATTTCGATCAACTAACTTCTCCACGATCACTTCTGTGATCTTGATTCGTCGGCCGCCACATCGTGAACGACTGCGAGAGAGATCAGCAAACTGGACGGAGCGATGCTGGTGCTTTCTGCACAAGTTTCTGGATGACGCGTTTCCTGAAATTCTGCCAAGGAAACAGCGATTGCAGCGATTTCAATCCGCCAGGAGGCACTCGAGAACGATCGCCCAGGAGGTTCTGGTTCTCCGTGACAATCCCCCATCGCAGCGGGGTGTTGATTTCAGCACCAGGCCTTCTCTGTGTTGCGCGAGAAGCAACAGGAGTCCTCTGACGACAAAATTTGAACGCAAAATTCTCGAGTCGACTAGGATCCCGAGTCGCTGCCTCCGTTGGAGTTGGAGCCATTTCTTCTTCAACATCACAAATTGACAACTGAAGGATAGTGTTAGGTAGCTGTAAAGTTTATTTCGTCCTGAGATTATTTGAATTTGTTTGGTTGACGTTCGAAGCGAAACGCACATTTTAATAAGTCGGACCAAGTACATGTAATTTATTTGTGCTGTTGTTGTTGTTGTTGTTGCTGTTGTTGCTGCTGCTGCTGCTGCTGCTGTTGTTGTTGTTGTTGTTGTTGTTGTTGCATTTGGTGCATAGACTGGTGATGGTGTGAATGATGCTCCAGCATTGAAGAAAGCTGAAATTGGCGTAGCGATGGGATCAGGCACAGCTGTAGCTAAGTCTGCTTCAGGTTCGTAGTAGTACTGTGTGACCATACATCTATATGCATGTGCGCGCTCGTGTGTGTGTGTGTGTGTGTGTGTACCTGTCGGAAGGCTACCTTCTTGCCAAAGCATTTGGAAGTTGGACTAGTTTCGGCTCCACAATCCAGTGTGCCATTGCTATAATTATTATAGCTTTCATGGCTGAGGTTGTTGGTATGTCTGTTGGCCCTGGATTCCCAGTACTCAGTTGCCGATGCTAGGTGGTAAAGTAACTCAAATTTCACTTCAAGGTACCAGTGCATCTAGTGTCTGCTTCTATCAAAGCAGCGTGCTGCCTATACTGGATACCCAAGGAAGGGTAGGGTGTGCATAGGTAGCTGTAACTGTTTTGGTCGTCCTTTTCCGATGTACTCAATGTGGTGTTGACCAGGTGTGCATTGGGGGTTGATTCACATGGCTTCGGCAGTTGTGTGGATTGAACAGTTACTAGCATCTGGCGCTAGTCTTGATCTGTTTCATTCAAAATCAAATCCGCTGTCATTGCTATAAGAGAGTGGGTGGGTGCACATCCAGTGCATTTGCAGATCTGCGTGCTTCTATTGCGACGGGCGTATACATGGTACATTGTGTGTGTGTGGGGGGGGGGGGGGGGGAGCGGTGTCTCGCATGGGTTAACACGACTTGCGTGCAGGACATCTCGGTCAAAGAAGCGACCGTTTCATCTTCCTTTTAGGCGCTCTATTGTGCTGTCGTTCAACACTTTTGTGTTTGTTGACTGTGTGATGGGGCTCGAATGTGGTGTCCTCTTCTTCTTCCACTTGTGGTATTTACTTCATATTGTTCAGAAATGGTTTTGGCTGATGACAACTTTACTTCTATTGTTGCTGCTGTCGAGGAGGGCCGTGCTATCTACAACAACACAAAGCAGTTTATACGATACTTGATCTCATCAAACATTGGAGAAGTTGTCAGGTAGGCACTACATACAACTTGAAAACAGTTCAGAAGTTTCACTGTTGTTATTTTTTATGTTTGAGGATGATGAACCCATTCCGGGTTTATGAAGAGTACGAGTCATATAGTCGTCATGCAGACCCCATCACGTCTGGGATATGACGAGTATACTCTCCATGTACTTTGTGTGCATTGCGCACACCGTCCGCCCTCGATAGTCCACTGTTCAAACCTCCATAACCCATGAGCAGAATGTCACGCAGCGATGAGCAATAGAGAGATACTGCTACACGGTATTACGTGCCAAAGTACGTATGGGATCCACGTCGGGGTGCGAGGTTCAGTTTCATGCGGCGAATGGTTTGGTTTCCACTTCGCATGCACCGCGCACTATGAGTCACAACGAAAGTCCCTTTTGAGGCATGCTGATCGCTACGATGCACCCTGCACACTAAACTTTCAAAACAATTTAAAGTGTATCCGCGTTTCAGTCTTCGACACCCAGTGACTCCGCATCATGCTGTATCAAACGACATACCACTTGAAAGCTTATTCTCTCACCTTTCCAATGTGCTCTCAAATGCGCTTTCCGATGAACTCTTATGCGCGACTATCGGATAAAGGACAGTCGAGTTCCGAAAATTGAAGAGTGATGTGTGAGCATTTACACGATGCATATACGAGTAGAAAGTAGTTAGATGGATGGGGACACCCATTCCCAAAGCACTGCAAAGAACCGAGTCCGTGATGATAGATGTCGCCAGGGCGAAGCCTGAAGCACGCGAGCTCGGATAAACAATTGTCGCGAGTAGAAAACATGACGTATGTGCATCATGGGCTTCTCTCTTTTTTTTCGCGGCAACCCATGCGTATTGGGTATCACAACATCGAGATGTTCAGTGGCTTTCAGGCCAACTTTGTCCGAATTTCAGGCATTGAAAGTTGACTGCACTGCGATCGCTCGCGCACGCGTGTGGGAAAGCGCGAATGCTACGAAAATGCAGAAAACGGACTTCGCTCAGGCACCCTCGCGAGGAAGACTATTTCTCTGCATTTTCTCTTCACAGTTGTCTGCCTGGCCTTGATATCTTTCCAGAGAGCCATCGTTTGTAGAGATCCGTGGATACACCTGCGCTATTAACAATTTGAGTTCGGCTCAACTCGGAAAAATTTGAATTTTTCTGACCCCCTTTTGGCACTGAAAGGGTTAAATGGACAAGCACTTATTGTTCCGTAGCCGTAGGGGTCTAGGCGGTCGGTCTAGCTTGTTTGCGGACAGTGCTGCATCAACAAAGATCTTAATGAAGTGATACCCCCGACACAAACTGCACAAACAAGTGTGACATTCTTTGAAAGTTTACTTTTGGCTGACCGGTTTCACTACTAGGTGTAGATCATCAGAGTGAAGAGTAAAGTCGAACGAAACACAATTTTATGCTCCCACTAGGTGGGTAGAAAATGTATTGACACATGTGGGCCGCCAAAACGCTAGGGGCCCCAAGGGCATTGGGAAATGCTACGGTAATACGGTCATGCAATAATTGCACAAGGTGTATGTGTGTCATGTGTCATGAATGAAGTGCGCATGCAACTATGAGTACTATATTCATGAGGTGAATTGAATTTTAGGCGGGATCCAAAGTATTTTCACACTTTGCAGTTGACAGCGCACTGGCAAGTACAATTTCGCACCTAAGTCCTTACTGAACCTGGGTCGCGGTCGCTTACAGCAGATTTGAATGCAGCCACCGTGCATGAAAATCGCGGTCGCTGGTCGCGCACAGCAGATGGTCGCTCTGGACAGATCAGTTTGTATGTGAAACCGTCGGTGCACGGAAAATCGGTCGCTAACGGTAGATGGTCGCCTACAGCAGAGGTCGCTAACGGCAGATTTGACTGTAGAAACTAGAACACGACGTGCCTCCAGTGGAAGGCCAAAAGACCAACAAATTATGTACTATTGAGGTAGGTGGCATGCGGGTACGGAGAAATGTTATGTACTAACGGGGTTTATGTACTAACGAATTATGTACTAACCGACAAAATTTGTATGGAAGTGACCACGTTTCGTCCGGGACTTGAGATTTCTTATGTACTAACCGGACTCGTATTAACGGGGGACGACCTGTATATGGCTTTTACAGTATTTGGAGTGTTGAAAATGATCTGGAATCTTTACGAGCCCTGATAGTGTAATGTCCCCATCTTCTCCAGTTCTTCTTTTCCTTGCTGTGTTCTTGTATTTGTTGATGGTGCTGGTGTGCTGTATTATGCTTGTTTGTGCCTTTAGTATTTTCCTAACGGCTGCACTTGGAATTCCAGAAGCTCTGATTCCGGTGCAGTTGTTGTGGGTGAACCTGGTGACAGATGGTCTACCTGCTACTGCTCTTAGCTTCAACCCACCAGAGGAGAACATCATGAGACAGCCACCTCGCAACCCAAGAGTACCACTGATCAGCGGATGGCTCTTCTTCAGATACATGACCATTGGAAGTGAGTGTCTGCATTGTGCTGTACACTGTGCTGTACACTGTGCCCTAGAATTCGCTGAGTAGACGCCGATGTGTATGGTAATGATATGCATCAGGTTAGCAACAATGATATTTGAATCTGCAATCTGCCGTGAGATACATGTGGTGCTACACTTTGTTGCATCTGTCCGTACAGTAGTCTGTAACATGCAGCAACCTATGGCAATCCGGCATTGTTGTTGTATCCATGCATAGCACATGTTTCCGATTGGTGATCAAAATCAACGTTAGTTGAGCCACACGAAAGACAACATTGCTTCACTTTGTCCTAATGCTTGTGTATTCATGTAACTTTAGTCTTGCTGATGTGGTTGTGTTCTTGTGCTTTTGTGTCTTGTGGCCTTTCCTGCGTTTGTTCTAGTTTATGTGGGCTGTGCAACCGTATTTGCATCCGTCTGGTGGTTTATGTATTTTGATGGCGGTCCTCAGCTTAATTACTATCAGTTGGTAAGTTGTGTCATGTGACTCACGTGTGCCTCTAGCCTGATGACATCACTGTTACCTCATTGTTTTGCTTGGCCTGCTTTCCTCCACACTGCTGTTCGGTGATCGGTTGATGCCCAGTTTGACTGATTGTTCTTTGTCCATGGCGGTGGCAGCAAAGTGAAGTGGTCACATTGGTGCTGTCTGTTCTCGTGTGATTTGTTTAGAGTCACCACATGTCCTGTACGCTTGACAAGGAAAACTTTGCAGAGAACTTTGACTGTGAGATTTTCGATGATCCTCACCCTATGACAATGGCACTGTCTGTCCTTGTTACTATTGAAATGCTCAACGCTCTCAACAGGTAATTTTCCTCTACTCTAACTGTGGCCAGATCCTACTGCTTGTACTGTAACTTATTATCAGGGTTCTAGCCATTAACAATTGTGGGGGGGGGACAAACAGTTGACCCATTTTGTTCATGTTCCGCTATTGCCTTGTCACATGAAGTGCAATGTACGGGCGCAGTGAGTATCTGGAACAACAACGATTTGAGGCCGCATTTTCGTTGTGTGGCCTGAAAAAAACACAAAAATTGAAGAAATGGGATAGAAGGGGGGGGGTGGCTGCATTGGCCCAGTGCTGCTGGCCGAGGAAGTAGGCACACAAGCACTGGCCCAGGGCTTGACCTCAATCTCCACACTCCTGTTTGTCGTGTTGAACTCTATTTTTCGTAGATTCCCGTTGCCAACAGGTTTTGAAAATGCCTCGGGATTTGATCAAGTTTGGATTATTTGAAAATGTCTACCCCACCGATCGATCCCGTTGGATCGGTGATGCTTGTATGTACGGGCAACTGAGGGTTACCGTAAAGACGGGCGATCTCCTAGTGCAGTCGTCGTTAGCTACAGATTTCATTCAACTGTATTACCTGTTGTACTCTATGAATTCTGGCTGTGTTCTGTGTAGCTTGAGTGAGAACCAGAGCTTGTTGTCAATGTACCCAACACGGAATCTCCTTCTGTTGGGAGCCATTGCATTGTCCATGTCTCTGCATTTCTTCATTCTCTACGTGCCCCTCATGTCGGTAAGTTGAACTTAGTGCAACAAGACCTTGTGAATGCTGGCACTTGCTGCTGCTGCTGCTCTGTGTATGTGTGCACAGGTGTGTCTGTGTGCTCTTGTATCGTGACAGGAGCGTGTCCAATATTCCAGCCTATACTACAGTGTATATGATAATTATAATTATCGTAGTAATCATGTAAACAATTCATCATTTAAACTTAAACTACATACGCAAAAGATGCACTCCTGAAGCAGCAAGAAGCAGCGACTCATTCCTCTGCCTCAGAATGCTTGCGCTTGCAAGCAGCAACAGCTCCGGCTTTCTGGGCTCCACCTGTACGTGGCTTGCCACTTTTGCCGTCACACTCAATGCATGGCATCACACTCACACCTTTGCCATCACACTCAATGCATGGCTGCATGTGCACAATCTGGTAACACTCGCTGATCAGCCTGTGGCACCACCGGCATTGGTACCGCAAACATAGCAGGTTGGAGCATCCTCAGGCAGAACAGTTGGTTCGCAGTTCAGTCGCAATCCGAGGAAAACACACATCCTCAGGCAGAACAGTTGGTCCGCAGTTCAGTCGCAATCTGTGGAGAACGCACATCCTCAAGCAGAACAGCTGGTCCCCAGTTCAGTCGCAATCCGTAGCATTACCGCACTTCCGCCTTCCATACTGGGACTGATCGGGAGTTGCACACTCTTGGGCGGTTATTGACTCTTGAGGCAGTGTGGCAGCACTAGATCCCATCGAGTTGCATACTAGTACAGGACCACTCGATGAAATCCAATCGCGTCACTCAAGTATGCGCCGGGCGTTGCACAGCCATAGACCTGTGAACAGTGGGCTGTAAAATGGTGCAAAGCGCAAACTTGAGTGACACGACTGGATTTTATTGAGCAGCATTGTACTTTTTGGTGGGGTGGGTGGGGGCTCTCTTCCTGCTAGTTAACGCGCAAGATTTTGCATCATCAGCAGCAGCAGAAGGATGCCTTCTGGCATAGGGCATGTACCTTGTGAAACCAGTCACATTCATTCTTTCTCACTGTCCTGCACTGCTCCAGAATGAACTATGCATTGATAGTTGCATGATGATCAGGACTAGGAGTGGTGAAACTGAGTTGAATCTTCCTCTACTTTCTGTGTGAAAACTTTGCCTCAGTGTGTAGCACTCCTCAAGTAGTAAAGTACCTCTCTTGTTCACGCACACATATAAACTCTGGCTTGACCGAATTCTCCTTTTCTGGAGCTGTGCAATTGCAGGATGAGAAAACGAGTGTGTGTGTGTGCGTGTGTGCGTTTGCATGGTTTCTGTTCCAGACTGTCTTCCAAATCACACCACTAAATCAAACTGAGTGGCTTGCCGTCATATACATGTCACTACCTGTTATTCTTCTTGATGAAATTCTGAAGTTTGTTGCTCGCAATTTCGTCACAACAAGTAAGTGGCTGGTGTAGGTAGGCGCTATTGACTTGTGTGACTACTGATGCTGCCCGGGCTCTTGCTGTTGTTGCTTAAACTTCTCTTCTTGCTTTGCGTGTGTTTGCTGGTCATGGCTTTGTAAAGCCACGTGTAGCTATGGTAGAGTCGAAAAGTATTCCAATAACTCTTGCACTATGCCTTGCAAAGCCTTTGTTCTGTACCGTAAAGTACCTTTGATCCGCGTCGATTCAACGCCGTATTTTATTGTATACGCCGAAGTTGCTTCACAGCCACAAATTCGACAGGGGTGGAAATTCGAGAATGGGTGGATTAATGGTACTTGAGCCCGAGCGCGCTAAAACATGACCACAGCTTTTTTTGAAAAAGTCGAGATAATCGCGATTTGAATTCCGCGGCAAAAAATACGAAGTGCAGTGCAACGCGAGTCGCTGTTGTTGTTCTCCTCGGTCGACTGGACTGTTCCGGATACAATTCTTTGTTGCAAGTAAGTTTATTTGTTTGAGTTTGTATTCCATGTTGCGCTGAGTCGCCTAAAACTGATCGTCATCGATGTATCGACAGAAGAGCCTAGTAGTAGTAATGTACTGTGGAGCGGAAGAAGACGACATCATCGCACTCCATGCGCAGGATAAACAATTTGGAGGATTCGGGTCGGAAACAGAAGGAAGACGATGATGGCTACAGCGACGAGTCATTTGAGGGCGACACTTTCATCGAGCGTAAAAAGAATTGATGCTGGTAGTCCCACGATCTGCAGTGACGAGGAATTCTACTCTGATGACAACCTGGCAAGCGATTGGCATCGACACTGACTTGGGAGGTGAGTCGGCCGATGATTTGGCCAGAATGGACATCGCTGCACATATCCGGGACAATGCCAGTCACGATTGGTTGCAAGTGCAAAAACAATCACTGGACTCTGCTGCTCCCTCAACTTGCTCAAGTCGATAATTTGAGTACCCTTATGTATGCAGCGAAAGCAGTACTCTCTGGCGAGCGGAGAAACCGTGTGCAGATGGGCTTTGGTGTGGGGAATATGAGTGCGACGTCTAGTATGTTGAGGAAGACTGTGTGCAGCAGTGTATACTGTATATCTGAAACTACAGGTGGAGTGTGATGGAGAGGACATGGAGTGCCAACTTCTTCGGCCAGCTACAGATGTTGACCGTGTTTTCGCTGGCGGTTCTCCAGTGGTGCTCCAAACAGGAGGCCTTTCGGACAAGCAGCTCAGCTGCCTATAGACAATTTGGATGTGGCTGAGTACCTGTCAGCTCATGCTATAAGACCCTGGACAGAGGAATTGACCCGGAAAATATGAACCAAGGGGCATATCAATTGTGTGCAAAAATGACAATCCCATTGCTGTACATAGAATTTCGCCATTTCAACAGTGCTGCATATAATACCATTGTAGCAACACTTAGACATGTCCGATCAATCCAAAACTTTCAGACAGTGAACATTAGGTGTGTTAGATCATTTTTAAACAAAAAACTGAAAATCGAATTTTTGGTCTGTGGTCATATTTTAGCGTGCTCTGGCTCACTTAGAGAATGGGTGGATTAACGGTACTTAGAGAATGGGTGGATTAACGGTACTTAGAGAATGGGTGGATTAACGGTACTTAGAGAATGGGTGGATTAACGGTACTTAGAGAATGGGTGGATTAACGGTACTTAGAGAATGGGTGGATTAACGGTACTTAGAGAATGGGTGGATTAACGGTACTTAGAGAATGGGTGGATTAACGGTACTTAGAGAATGGGTGGATTAACGGTACTTAGAGAATGGGTGGATTGACGGTACTTAGAGAATGGGTGGATTGACGGTACTTAGAGAATGGGTGGATTGACGGTACTTAGAGAATGGGTGGATTGACGGTACTTAGAGAATGGGTGGATTGACGGTACTTAGAGAATGGGTGGATTGACGGTACTTAGAGAATGGGTGGATTGACGGTACTTAGAGAATGGGTGGATTGACGGTACTTAGAGAATGGGTGGATTAACGGTACTTAGAGAATGGGTGGATTAACGGTACTTAGAGAATGGGTGGATTAACGGTACTTAGAGAATGGGTGGATTAACGGTACTTAGAGAATGGGTGGATTAACGGTACTTAGAGAATGGGTGGATTAACCCTTTGTGTACCAGCCCCATCTCGAACCGTACCATATGGTACGGTTCGCTGCACTTCAATCAAACGCGCCGGTCCCCGCCGCCGTAGCTCCGATCGACCCGCGGTTTTTTGCGCTCGACAGCTGAGGTCCCACTGAAAATTTTGATGTATGACATGGGTAGGTTGCCATTTGAAAGTATGGAGAACGAACGCGTTCAAAAGTATGCTTTTCAGCGCAAACAATTGTCGCTGTTTCGATCGTGTTCTCGCTCAGTTTCTCTGCTTGTAGCGAAGATGTAGCTTGTTCTAGGTCATGTCGACGTCTTCTAGATGTGGTGGACGATTGGAGAGATCGGCTGTGGCGATATCATCGCGGAATGCGACTCGAAATTGAAAATTTGTATCGCTGATCCCATCGCAGTATTCGCTCTCAAAACAGGAGCGAGAGGGAGGGCAGCGATGGCCTACAATCATCAAGGCAGGCGTAATTCACCAGCCAGCGACTGCTTCTTGTCTTCTCTTTCACTTACCTTACGCTGGATGTGAGTAGATGAAGAAAAAAATAGATTTCGAATCTGACACAATAATTCAAAATTTGCAATTTTGAACAAATTGTTTCACCTCAAATACGTAAAAATATGACCATATCCCTGGTATGTTGTGGCTCTTCATGCACTGAGACAACGCTTATGAGGTTGTTTTGTCCCTATGTTCCCAGTACATGAGCACAAACTAATTCTCAGTCTATTTGTTTGTGATACGCTGGTTGGTCAGAAATATGCACAATTGGCACGTATTTTTGGTATTCCACCTATGGCCTTCATATACTACTGCATGCTGTACCAATATCCATGCTTACCTGGGTGCAATGATACATATGGAGTCAGGAAAACACAACTTGCATATACAAAAGTTGTCTAGATTTCATACCATGGTTGCTTCTTTGGCTGCGATCGCCCCTTACATACATTAGATGGCTGGTACATAAAGGGTTAACGGTACTTAGAGAATGGGTGGATTAACGGTACTTAGAGAATGGGTGGATTAACGGTACTTAGAGAATGGGTGGATTAACGGTACTTAGAGAATGGGTGGATTAACGGTACTTAGAGAATGGGTGGATTAACGGTACTTAGAGAATGGGTGGATTAACGGTACTTAGAGAATGGGTGGATTAACGGTACTTAGAGAATGGGTGGACTAACGGTACTTAGAGAATGGGTGGACTAACGGTACTTAGAGAATGGGTGGACTAACGGTACTTAGAGAATGGGTGGATTAACGGTACTTAGAGAATGGGTGGATTAACGGTACTTAGAGAATGGGTGGATTAACGGTACTTAGAGAATGGGTGGATTAACGGTACTTAGAGAATGGGTGGATTAACGGTACTTAGAGAATGGGTGGATTAACGGTACTTAGAGAATGGGTGGATTAACGGTACTTAGAGAATGGGTGGATTAACGGTACTTAGAGAATGGGTGGATTAACGGTACTTAGAGAATGGGTGGATTAACGGTACTTAGAGAATGGGTGGATTAACGGTACTTAGAGAATGGGTGGATTAACGGTACTTAGAGAATGGGTGGATTAACGGTACTTAGAGAATGGGTGGATTAACGGTACTTAGAGAATGGGTGGATTAACGGTACTTAGAGAATGGGTGGATTAACGGTACTTAGAGAATGGGTGGATGAACGGTACTTAGAGAATGGGTGGATTAACGGTACTTAGAGAATGGGTGGATTAACGGTACTTAGAGAATGGGTGGATTAACGGTACTTAGAGAATGGGTGGATTAACGGTACTTAGAGAATGGGTGGATTAACGGTACTTAGAGAATGGGTGGATTAACGGTACTTAGAGAATGGGTGGATTAACGGTACTTAGAGAATGGGTGGATTAACGGTACTTAGAGAATGGGTGGATTAACGGTACTTAGAGAATGGGTGGATTAACGGTACTTAGAGAATGGGTGGATTAACGGTACTTAGAGAATGGGTGGATTAACGGTACTTAGAGAATGGGTGGATTAACGGTACTTAGAGAATGGGTGGATTAACGGTACTTAGAGAATGGGTGGATTAACGGTACTTAGAGAATGGGTGGATTAACGGTACTTAGAGAATGGGTGGATTAACGGTACTTAGAGAATGGGTGGATTAACGGTACTTAGAGAATGGGTGGATTAACGGTACTTAGAGAATGGGTGGATTAACGGTACTTAGAGAATGGGTGGATTAACGGTACTTAGAGAATGGGTGGATTAACGGTACTTAGAGAATGGGTGGATTAACGGTACTTAGAGAATGGGTGGATTAACGGTACTTAGAGAATGGGTGGATTAACGCTACTTAGAGAATGGGTGGATTAACGGTACTTTACGGTGTTCTACTAGTATCCCAGGTTGCCTTATTTTCCATTCGTGCTTACTTTGTTTCTGTGTGTGTGTGCGTGTGTGTGTGTGTGTGCGTGTGTGTGTGTGTGTGTGTGTGTGTGTGTGTGTGTGTGTGTGCCTTGTTCAGCTTCTCCCGAGTTCAAGGCCAAGCAAGACTAACTTAAAACCATCGGGACCTCTTTTTGACTTGTGCAGTCCTTGTTGCAACGCAGCTGCTCGCAGAGTCAGCTTTTAGTGGAAAGACAATGTGCTACAATGTAATGTACCAACTACTAGCTTTGCACACCACTGCTGCATCATGCCTGTAGCATACTTGATTGATGTTGTTCAGCACAGCAGTAAAGCTTGTCAACTGTTGTATTACTCACACATGCACGTGTATAGCGTAGCATGCAAGTGCCATAATGCTTTCATGAAATTATATCTTCTTGTTTCCATTGTTTTTGCTTCTAGGCACCTCCTGATATACATGAGCGTATGCATGGTAGTGAGAGTGAGTGAGGCGTGTGTGCGTTCGTTCGTTTTGTTTGGCCTTGGCTTTGCTCAACGTAAGCATAGCTTTCAATCTGTCCCTGGTCCCCAGCTTTTATGCATTTATTCTGATGTATCGTTGTCGCAACTTTTGCTTTGCTTTAGATCTGCTTTTGCCGCCATTGGCAATTTTGTTGTCAGAATTGTCAACAGTGGCCTTTGTTGCTTTCATGCATTTATTCTGATGTATCGTTGTCGCAACTTTTTCTTTGCCTTAGATCTGCTTTTGCCACCATTGGCAATTTTGTTGTCAGACTTGTCAACAGTGGCCTTTGTTTTTCTTGCGTTTGGACAAGACTGTAGTGGTGGACGTTATGTCATCAGTCAGTACTACTAGTACCACTAGTTCACATGTGCTTGCACATCTATTGCAGTATTGGTGTTGTTGGCAATCTTGCTTTGACCGTAGCTGTTGTGCATGTTGTTCTGCTGGCGTACACGTTCACTGATAGAAGTCGAATGCAGCGCAGTGTGAGTTGTTATAGGTGTAGACACGTGATCATGATTTCTGGCCTGCATGCTTCTCTTTTTACAGCCTCATTGTCTCAATTGTACTTTGTTGTTGTTGTTGTTGTTGTTGTTGTTGTTGTTGTTGTTGTTGTTGTTGTATTCTGTTAAAAGTGCTGCCATCCTGTCCACGAATGCCAACCAGTATCCCTGTTACACTAAAGTTGTTGCTCTTGCCTATTTACTAACTTAGTATGTATGGCCTGCGCTCGTGTGTGGGTGTGTTCTAGCTGTACCGATCACTGATCTCAACGACAATGACGATGTAAACAGTCCACAACTAACCAAACGGCCCAAACTGACACTTGCTCTCGGTAATTATTGTCCTTATTCCCCGTTTCATTTCCCCTCAATAAGCCCAGCATTCTCTCCCTGTACATGCACTGCTTAATGCATTGATTTTGTCATGATGTTAGCTGGTTAGTATAGTGGTAACATAGTAATATCATTAATATTATGGATGCCGGACTGGCTCATCATGCCGGACTGGCTCATCATCCCGATCTGTTGAATGCCTTGGAATGGACATAACCAACTTACTTTACAGAACCGTCATGTAGCCGTTGTCAAACTACCGGTATGTGCTGAGCTTCCGTATGCGTCACGTCCAAAAAGGGGGTGGTGACTTATCAATGCATAGCCAAGCCTCCCAAATATTCGAGCAACGATATAGTCAAGTTGGTAGTACAACTACAGTCCATTTCAAAACCATAGACGCGTAGGGTTTTTGAAATATTTCAAATTTGGCTGGAGCTTTTTGAGAGTAGTTTTCGGAATATTAGAGAGGTTCTGCACAACGAAAGTTCGAACGAAGTTTCGCGACAGGCCTTGCGAAAGTGTGTACGAATTTTCGCACGAACTTTGTGTTCTGCACATTTTCGTAGTTTGCACGCGCCAAGTGCACGTACGACATGACCCAATCTCACGAAACTTCCTACGAAAGTTCATTTCACGTTCCCTGCAAGTTTCGCGTCCAAAGTTGCGAAAGTTCGTGCGAAGTTTCTCACTTCGTGACGTAGAGCGAAAGTTCGTACACATTTTCGTTTTGCAGAACCTCTCTATTGCTCCGGTCCGCTCCACAATTACTCTCATATAGTTTCTAAACGATTGGATAACAGACGCCCAATTTGGAAAAAAATTATGCACAAAGTGATCACAGATTTTATGTGGTATAGATGCTGGCATAACGGTTTTTGCCTAGGTACGCGTCTATAGTTTTGAAATGCAGGACTGTACGAGTCTACTGTACTTGCTAACGGGGGGGTTCCAGCGACTCTGGTTCTTTGATCGAAATGGCGGATGACATTGATTTGCTCACGACCATCATGGATGGAACCGTTTGCAAGGACAACTTGTCAAACCACTTTAGAAGAAAGAACTACAAGCGCCCGGGGTAAAACAGAGTTTGCCACTTTTTACATTGTACTTTCCTGGGCTGGCAGGGGCCATTCAGTTGTGCTTTCAACTTCCACAACTATGAATCCTATGAAGACCGTAGCATGTCTTCGACAGGTGAAAATTTGTCTGAGAATATTCGAAGGCTCGCTAGACGATGAGGGGTACAGTGCAGTGCTACCTATGAGCGCAAATGAAAATCTTCTGAATCTGGAGCACGGCTGATATGTCCGCGGGGTATCTCAGTAGAAAAATTAAAAGGATCGAATGGCGTTAATGCATTGGTCGCTTATTCGCATTGGGTATGCACGTGTTTTCACGTGGGACGAGCGGTGGCTTGCGACTTTGTGTCTGGCTGCTGTCTAAAATACTCGGTGGCACGTCTTGGACACGTGAAATTTTGTCTGACTTTTCGAAGGGTCGATAGAGGATACGGTGTGCACCAGTCCTGCTAAAAAAAATGCTCTGAATCTGGAGCACGGCTGCTTTGTATACGGGGGGGGGGGGGGGTATCACGGCCGAACTGATCAAATGGCGTGAATGCATCGGGTATATATCGACAACGACCATCCTAATCCTGTTGTATAGCTGGATATAGGGAAGTGCACCAAGAAAAACAGCCACATTTCTCTAAACAAGTCGCCCAGGGCTGCTGATAGCTGAAAATAACTCTATCTCCATGTTTGGGGCTTAAAATCAATACGACCACTCACATTACAGCTGGGTCATGTTATAGAGAGGTGCATTAACATTGACAGGTGGTCAAATATTGTCAAAAATTGACAATTTCTCACCTTTCTTCCTGTTTGAAGCTCAGCACCTGAATAATGACCATCCTGATCCGGTTTGATAGCCAGAAATAGGGAGGTGCACCAAGAAAGAAAGCCACATTTCTCTAAACAACTCGCCCAGGGCTGCTGAAAGCTGAAAATAACCGATCTCCAAGTTTGGGGCTTGTCGCCGTGAATCTTCACTTTGCGACAAAGGTATTCACAGCAGTGCCAAAGCTTCTAGGTCATTGAATGTGGGTGCCAGCGGCCTATGAGCAAACAAAAATTGAAATCAATACGACCACTCACATTACAGCTGGGTCATGTTATAGAGAGGTATATTAAAATTGACAGGTGGTCAAATATGGTTAAAATTTGACAATTTCCCACCTTTCCTCCCGTTTGAAGCTCAGCACCTGAATAATAACCATCCTGATCCTGTTTTCTAGCTGGACATAGGGACGTACACCAAGAAAAAAAGCCACATTTCTCTAAACAACTCGCCCAGGGCTGCTGAAAGCTAAAAATAACCTATCTCCAAGTTTGGGGCTTGTCGCCGTGAATCTTCACTTTGCGACTAAAGTATTCACAGCAGTGCCAAAGTTTCTAGGTCATTGAATGTGGGTGCCAGCGGCCTACAAGCAAACAAAAAATGACGTCAATACGACCACTGACGTTACAGCTTGGTCATGTTATAGAGAGGTATATTAAAATTGACAGGTGGTAAAATATGGCCACAATTGGACAATTTCTGTCCTTTCTTCCCGTTTGAAGCTCAGCACCTGAATAATGACCATCCTGATCCTGTTTTATAGCTGGACATAGGGAGGTGCACCAAGAAAAAAAAGCCACATTTCTCTAAACAACTCGCCCAGGGCTGCTGAAAGCTGAAAATAAAATTGACAGGTGGTCAAATATGGTCAACATTTGACAATTTCTCACCTGTCTTCCCGTTTGAAGCTCAGCACCTGAATAATGACCATCCTGATCCTGTTTTTTAGCTGGATATAGGGAGGTGCACCAAGAAAAAAAAAGCCACATTTCTCTAAACAACTCGCCCAGGGCTGCTGAAAGCTGAAAATAACCGATCTCCAAGTTTGGGGCTTGTCACCCTGAATCTTCACTTTGCTACTAAAGTATTCACAGCAGTGCCAAAGTTTCTAGGTCAATGAATGTGGGTACCAGCAGCCTACAAGCATACAAAAAATGAAGTCAACACGAGCACTGACATTACAGCTGGGTCATGTTATAGAAAAGTACATTGAAATTGACAGGTGGTCAAATATGGTCAAAATTTGACAATTACTCACCTTTCTTCCCGTTTGAAGCTCAGCACCTGAATAATGACCAACCTGATCCTGTTTTATAGCTAGACATAGGGGGGTGCGCCAAGGAAAAAAGTCACATTTCTCTAAACAACTCGCCCAGGGCTGCTGAAAGCTGAAAATAACCTATCTCCAAGTTTGGGGCTTGTCGCCGTGAATCTTCCCTTTGCGACAAAAGTATTCACAGCAGTGCCAAAGTTTCTAGGTCATTGAATGCGGGTGCCAGCGGCCTACAAGCATACAAAAAATGAAGTCAATACGACCACTGACATTACAGCTGGGTCATGTTATAGAGAGGTATATTAAAATTGACAGGTGGTGAAATATGGTTAAAATTTGACAAGTACTCACCTGTCTTCCCGTTTGAAGCTCAGCACCTGAATAATGACTATCCTGATCCTGTTTTATACCTAGATATAGGGAGGTGGACCTACAAAAAAAGCCACATTTCTCTAAACAACTCGCCCAGAGCTGCTGGAGGCTGAAAATACCCTATTTCCAATTTTGAGGCTTGTCGCCGTGAATCTTCACTTTGCGACTAAAGTATTCACAGCAGTGCCAAAGCTTCTAGGTCATTGAATGTGGGTGCCAGCGGCTTACAAGCAAACAAAAATTGAAATCAATACGACCACTGACATCACAGCTGGGTCATGTTATAGAGAGGTATATTAATATTGACAGGTGGTAAAATATGGTCAAAATTTGACAATTACTCACCTTTCTTCCCGTTTGAAGCTCAGCACCTGAATAATGACCATCCTGATCCTGTTTTACAGCTAGACATAGGGGGGTGCGCCAAGGAAAAAAGCCACATTTCTCTAAACAACTCGCCCAGGGCTGCTGAAAGCTGAAAATAACCTATCTCCAAGTTTGGGGCTTGTCGCCGTGAATCTTCACTTTGCGACAAAAGTATTCACAGCAGTGCCAAAGTTGTTATGTCATTGAATGTGGGTGCCAGCGGCCTACAAGCATACAAAAAATGAAGTCAATACGACCACTGACATTACAGCTGGGTCATGTTATAGAGAGGTATATTAAAATTGACAGGTGGTAAAATATGGTCAAAATTTGACAATTACTCACCTTTCTTCCCGTTTGAAGCTCAGCACCTGAATAATGACCAACCTGATCCTGTTTTATAGCTAGACATAGGGGGGTGCGCCAAGGAAAAAAGCCACATTTCTCTAAACAACTCGCCCAGGGCTGCTGAAAGCTGAAAATAACCTATCTCCAAGTTTGGGGCTTGTCGCCGTGAATCTTCACTTTGCGACAAAAGTATTCACAGCAGTGCCAAAGTTTCTAGGTCATTGAATGCGGGTGCCAGCGGCCTACAAGCATACAAAAAATGAAGTCAATACGACCGCTGACATTACAGCTGGGTCATGTCATAGAGAGGTATATTAAAATTGAC